TATATATTATATATATTTATATATATATATATATATATATATATATATATATATATATATATATATATATATATATATATATATATATATATATATATATATATATATATATATATATATATATATATATATATATATATATATATATATATATATATATATATATAGAGAGAGAGAGAGAGAGAGAGAATTTTATATAACTCACCAGACAAATCATCTTGTGTTAATTCTGTTAGACTATCAAATACCTACAATACGTAAATAACAATATAGAGTTATTCTTTGAAAATTCACATTAAGTTGTAAAACGCAAAATAGATAACAAAGTAAAGTTATTTTTATTACCTACATCCAAAAGATTATATTGACAGAGACAATATCCAACATATTTTTCATCACATAGTACCCACAATCATTAGAGTTATGTTGTTGCCTTGTCTACAAATGAATGACATAATTGAGTACTTTAAAGTTAGAGTGTACAAACATTTATAGTGACATAACTCTAGAGATAAGTGACATGATATTCTTTTGTTGATAATTGACTACTTGAATGATCTAATTTTGTGTTGCCAATTATCACACTCGTAGTTGGATGACAGTGAGAGATGTTAATCTAAAATGAGTAATACATTAAGCATTTATTCAATCAAAGCAAGTGATTTTTTAACAAACAGAGGTGAAGTTCAACACAATTTTATTTAAGCAAACCAAGTAAGCAAACTCAAAGGTGAAGTTCAACACAATGTTATATATGTAATCTAGACATTGTAGATTGTTCAAACCAAATTTATACATGTTAATGAAATGAATGAATGTTACTGCAAATACCTGGTTGATTGTTCAGTGTAGAAAGTATCCAACTTTATCCCAAATCTCATGAACTTTATTTTTGTTTGTTGCTGTCTATACGTAATCGACAAGAAAAAAAGTTCGAATAGACTTCGGTACCTTCAAATTCAGAAGATTGGATTTCAACTAAACAAGAAATGAATTAAAATTGATGCAAAATACTCTCATTGACCAAAAGATTCCAGAAGAGTACTCTAACCAAAAGAATCCAATATATGAAATCTAATGTACCTCAACGGTTATTTGGAATTCATTCAGTCGCTAACTCATTGGAAAATACCGACCCACTCTGGCCTGTTTCTAATCCAAAAGAAGCTTGTTTATCCCTAGGAATGGGGAAATTCTTCACCGGAGAAAGATGTATCGGTAATTTCACCTTATTTTGGTTCACATTATCATATTGCTTCTTAATAACCAGTTTCAAAGAAATCACAGGTTTGTTTCCATTACACAAGTGCCCCGCCGATGAGGCAGGACCAAGTTTATTTCCACCATTAACATCCTCACCAACCATATCATTATCAGATTCAATCAATTGAAACCTGCGAAGAGGACTAGCCATTAACTTGTGAAACATGGACCGACAATGATCAGTCTCCAACCTAACAGAATCAGGAATTTCTAAATTCGACTTTCTTTTTTTATCCCTAGAATTGGTAGATGAATGAGGAGTTAAAACTCCAATACTTTTCAATGAGACTTTTAAGTTGTGACATATAGAATATTCCAAATTAAGGAACGTGCAAATACTAATTAAAATCACAAAAATTAACACACTTACATCAGAATCAATCAAAATAATTAAATTACTTAACAATCACGAGTATAAATATACCTACTAAAGTCTTAACCACAAGATTTGACCTTGGTTTTGCAAGCTTCACTCAGAAATCTGTTAACAAAGAACTAATTACAATGAAGTTTACAATCTATTCCACAAATTAATCAATTAAAAATATTCGAATAATTCATAACCTAATAACAAATTATCAAAGAATTGAATTGTTACTTGCGATTTTCTTTTGCGTTAGAAGCGTAACATCTTTAGAAGGTTCTGAGTGAGAGTGAAGTGAAAGAAAAACAAGTTTGAGTAGTTGTTTGCGGAAAGCCAACTGTGAAAGTGTGTTTGAGTGATAAGGAGTTAGTGATAATAATATAATTACGAGTTTGTCATCGTTAATAAAACTAACCTTGTCGACAGATAATTCAGCTTTATAAGTGTCTGAGTTGAGAACCTTCCTGTAAACATTATTGTATATTTCTCTAATAACCATCTCAAATGATGTCTTCACATTTGTGAGTTCAAAGCAATGATTTCCATGAAAAATAAACCTTCTGATTCTGCAAGGCTTTTACCTTCTTCAATGCTTACATGCACTATATTATCCAAATCACATTTTCCCACCAGCATCATTGCCACCTTTGTATCACAATGAGCTGCATCACAGTTATCAAACACATGAAAACAATACTTCAACTTTCTAGCTATAAACAAACATTAATTATATAATCAAGTTATCAAACAGTTTAAAATTACCATTTACATCCGCAATTACTATCACAACATCATGACAACAACAATTACAACAAAAATACAAATGTAGTTTTTATAGGTCTTCACAACATCATGGCAACAACAATTACAAGTGCAATATAAGTATAGTTTTATAGTCTTCACAACATCATGGCAACACACAATAAATATAAGAAATTAAATTGAAAATGACAGATCCAAAATGAAAAGCATAGCATAACAGTAATTAAAGATACTGACTCTTGAGTTCATCAAGTCATCTACCGACACTATTAAAGGTAGTTCTCCGCCTAATATCATAGACAATGGGAGCACCGACGATGCCTCTGTAGTACGCCAAAGTAATAAGACGGAATGGTTCTTGACCGGCGGTATCCCAAATTTGAGCCTTAACTTCTTTAGAATCATTTATAGGTTATGAGTTTGAAACTAAACTGTGTCAACTGATATTAGTAGTTTTTCAGCAGGTAATGCATCAACAGCAATGAAACTGCATGTGTTAATGTTTACAGCTTACTTGATAAAGATAGTCAATCGTCATTATGATATCATAAGTTCCTAGTTCTGAGTTCTAAGGGTAAGCAAATATTTAATAGATCCTCTTCTTTGATAATTTCATGACCTACTCAAGTCAACATTTTGTATTCAACTAATATTCATAACTTAATTTCTATTGAGAGTGAGTTAGGCACAACTATCATACGATAAAATCATGTAAAATCTCAACATGAGAAAACTCATTCCTTCAGACAATTCTAAACCTATATATTAAAAAATTGCATAAAGTCTATCGGTGTTCTTATTCTTAAGAAAAGAGTAAACAGTATCTAGGTTTCCATCACTCAATTTCGCATGTATTAAGTCTAAAGCTCAGGCTACTCATGAAAACTGAAACTACTAAAAACTAAATCTAACACATTGACTACACCTAAAATTCAGACACATAAAATTGATCAAAATCACAAAATTTAACAAAAGGAGTACTAAACACGAACGATTCCAATTAAGAATCTAGCTTATAAGGTAGACTTGCAATTTTCTGTGAAATCATCTTACCGTGAGCGAGAATCGTGGATAGTGATTTTGTTGAATTTGTTGAAGAGGAGTTTGTCGGAGTTAACCGTGTCCTCTTCATTGAAATCGAAGACTTGTAGATCTATTCGTGGAAACTCGTTCATCGTACCCAGTAAATAAGGGTTTTTGAAATCCGTCTTTCTTCGTCAGCATATTCACGTTGATCGTTGTTGGAGCCGACAAAGAAATTGACTGCTACTGAAGAAGTTACGGATACGCAGGGAGTATGTCGCAAAATCGGTGGTTGTGTGGCCGGAATGATGGTTGACAAAGGGACTGGTCACAACGGAGGGTTATGCGTGTGGAGCAGATGTAAAGACGAAGGGTTATGCGTGTGGAGGGAGTAGCAACTGTAAAGGAGACAAGGAAACAAAAGGGTTTTTGAAAGTTATGGATACTAGGATTTTTGTGAAAATTAAAGGAAAAATGATTTTACATCGGTTAAGCAGTGGCCCGATGTAAAGGCCAACATTTCACATTGGGTGCAGGTTCAATGTGAAATCCGTTATAATAAACCTTCATTATAATTACGAAACTGCCACTATGTAATTTTTTTTTAAGTGCATTTTTTACATCGGTGTAAATCTAGGTCCGATGTGAAATTCCTTATAATAAAATTTCATTTTATTTATCAAATTGTCACTATGTTATTTTTCACATCAATGAAAATAAATATCTGATGTAAAATCATTTGACAAATATTTTTCACATCATATATCTTGAAACCTGATGTAAAATCTTTTAACCAAATGTCTTATTTTTAGTAGTGTTTTATTTGGAAAGACATAGTTTTATACCTACGTGTCAATTAAGGATCAAAACCTCTTAGTTTATGGTAAAAATAACAAAAGGGTTTGTTGTTTGATTTTTAGGAGAAAAGATATTTCATCATCTTAAGGAAAATGCTCAACTAATACCACCACAAATATGAGAATATGGATCTTGCATCATCATGAAGGAAGAGCTACTAACTTGGATATAAAGATCAATAAGTTGCAATTAACATCTTCATGTGGAAAGAATCACATTTACTTCAACAATTACTATGAGGATAGGAGAATCATATCTCAACTATGAAGACGATTTATACTTAATCCCTTTGAAAAAATATTTTAAATTAAAAAACCAAGTGGCAAAAAAATTTGAATGGGGTTAAATCACTTTTAGTCTTTTGAAATAATTTAATATGCTTAAGTGTATTGAAGCATTTATTAAAGAAGAAGTTTGAAAATACAATGACACAAAGTCAAGGTTTTTATCTGAAAGTGATTCAAGTTTGAAATTAGGGTTTTAAGATACAAAGAGTAAACATCAAGAATTACATGGGTGATACATAAAGATAAACACACCAGGGTAAACCTAAGACAATGCATATGCACATGACTATAAAGTTAACCATACTATCCCTTTCCTTGGATTTGACACAAGTATTAACACAACAAGGTATAAACACCAACCATCATTATATAAACATTTAAATTAACATCAAAACAAATAAACATGTAAGCTTCATGGATTAGGGTCTCACATAATCAAAACATCAATCAAGACCTCAAAAACAATAGTAAGGGTTTAATTAAGCATGGTAAGAACAAAACCTTAAAATAATCATTCAAAGCAACAAGACATTTTAAATCATGTTCATTTAATTAATACTTATCACAGTATGAAAATTGATTCGGGTATCCCTGCCCCGCCACTATCCATTTAGTAAATCAATTTTTTAATAGAAATATTAATTTTTTCCAAAATCAAATTACATTATAAATAATAAAATAATACAATCTCAAAAAATTTCATACTTTAAATAATAAATACAAATTAAATTATCAAAACATTCACCACATATTTAATATTCTAAATTATAAAAAATAAATAATAATCTACCTAAATAAACAAGACAGATTCTAGAACAGATTCAGAGTGGGTATTAATATTCTCATTATCCGACCCGTCTTTCATATTTTATAATCGAAGAAAACCTAAATCCGAATTCAAACCATTATTAAAATAGATTAACTTTTAGACAAATTTGAATGACTAATCGCGAGTAAGGATTTTGTTGCTGTAGCCTATTTCTTACCGGTTGGTGTATTACATCGAAATATAAGGAGGAATAATATTGGAACTAAAAAAAGGAAAAAATTAATTTATTATAGGTTGAGATTTGAAAATTGAGAAAGTAATATTGATAAGGAAGAAAATGGATAGGCTCCATTTTACCGTCTTCACCGCTCACATCAACGTAAACCAGCGAAGCGGTGACTGTTTTCCGCAACAATGGCGTTTTCGTCATCATTCCACGAACGACTCGAACAAATGGACCGTACTCGAATTCAACGTCTCTCCTTACTCCAGGTTCATTTCAATTTCATCTCTACTTGATTTTTTTCCAACAAATATGAATTCAAGTTCGTATCAATTTTCAGGCCGAGAAAGATTTACAATCCCACAAATCTCGTATTCTGGCCTCAAAGCTTGCAACTATCAGAGCCATGGAACAGAGGTGCTTGCTGTTTGATCGTAAAATAGCGTCGCAGAATTTCAATATTCTGTCTCTTAAGTCTCAAATTGAGAATCTCGAAGCCAAATATGATTCCCTCTCTCAAGAATTTAGGTCATTGCAGAACGAGGTGGAGGAGCTTGAAGAGTTGCACAAAATGAAAGATGGATTTTATGAAGCGAAGAAGATGGAAATGAAGGAATTCAAGGATATGGCTTACAATTTTGTAGTGAAATGTGAATTGGAAGTTCAGAGTTTGAGGAATGAAGTCAATGAGGTAACTGGAGTAGAAAATCAATAACTTCACACAATTTTTCTGTTTCATTTCGTTTATCTAGGGTATGTTTGGATTGATGGAATTTTACGGACTGAAATAGTATGGCATGAAGTTCCATTATTTGGATCAATTAAAATCGGATGGAGCTGAATGAAATGGTATGGATTCCATTCGATTTGGGCAGAACAGAGAATTTGCCTTGCTCTATCCTAAAATGCCCTATGGAATGAAATCTTCATTCCGCTCCACTCCATTCCACTGGGCTCCTTTTCATTTTGTTACGTTCATTTCATGATATCCAAACACACATGCTAAGATAAACTTCCAATAATCATGCTTTTCAAGTCTTCATGCACCTAGAAATTAAGCTTAATTTATATTATATAACCACATACATAGCACTGACACTATATACTCAAGGCGCGTTCAATTGTCTTATATGTATGGTGTGTGTGGCGCCAACATGATATTAACACTTGTGGTTACATACAATCATTAATATTTTTTATATTGTTACTGATATATACATAGTCTTGTATGTGTCAGTGTCGTAGTTGATACTCGTGTTAGTCGGTGCTTCATATACTATTTATAGTAGTCGTGTATTTATGTACACATGACATATTAAGATTCGAAAGTAAAACAGAAATTGATATGTGTGTTTATGGTATGCTATTTATGTTCTTCAATTGATTTTGGTTGAGCATTCCTAGCTACCACTTTGTATGAAGTTAATAGTAACAATGCTGGTGAATTGCATAGTGTTTGAAAGTGATTTTTTTTTCTTTTATTGTTTTTGGTTTTCAGTTGAGGTCTTCTTTCATGGATCTTAAAGGCAACAAAAGGAACTCATGTAATCCGGAGATAGCAGCTGCTGAAGCGAGAA